CATTTCACCTACACATGCTTCAACGGCTTTTTTATTCTACTTCACTCTTCTTCGTTTCGGGTGGAATTAATTAACAACGATGCCTGACATTAAAATGCTTTCGGCACAACCAGGAATCGATCCTGGCTTCAAACACTTGCAACACTTTGTCTTTACCACTAGATCATTTCACCTACACATGCTTCAACGGCTTTTTTATTCTACTTCACTCTTCTTCGTTTCGGGTGGAATTAATTAACAACGATGCCTGACATTAAAATGCTTTCGGCACAACCAGGAATCGATCCTGGCTTCAAACACTTGCAACACTTTGTCTTTACCACTAGATCATTTCACCTACACATGCTTCAACGGCTTTTTTATTCTACTTCACTCTTCTTCGTTTCGGGTGGAATTAATTAACAACGATGCCTGACATTAAAATGCTTTCGGCACAACCAGGAATCGATCCTGGCTTCAAACACTTGCAACACTTTGTCTTTACCACTAGATCATTTCACCTACACATGCTTCAACGGCTTTTTTATTCTACTTCACTCTTCTTCGTTTCGGGTGGAATTAATTAACAACGATGCCTGACATTAAAATGCTTTCGGCACAACCAGGAATCGATCCTGGCTTCAAACACTTGCAACACTTTGTCTTTACCACTAGATCATTTCACCTACACATGCTTCAACGGCTTTTTTATTCTACTTCACTCTTCTTCGTTTCGGGTGGAATTAATTAACAACGATGCCTGACATTAAAATGCTTTCGGCACAACCAGGAATCGATCCTGGCTTCAAACACTTGCAACACTTTGTCTTTACCACTAGATCATTTCACCTACACATGCTTTAACGGCTTTTTTATTCTACTTCACTGTTTCTCGTCTCGGGTGGAATTAATAAACGATTAAATTAAAATGCTTTTTGAAACAACCAGGGATCGATCCCCGCTTTATGCACTTGCAACACTTTGTCTTTACCACTAAACCATCTCGCTTACACATCCTTGAACTACTTTTTTATTCTACTTCACTGTTCCTTCTACCTCACAGACGGCCGTAGCTAAAAAGTATGCTGTAATCTGATATACTTTAAAGCCACAGACCGCCGTGGCTAAAAAGTATACTGTAATCTGGTATACTTAAAAGCCACAGACCGCCGTGGCTAAAAAGTATACTGTAATCTGGTATACTTAAAAGCCACAGACGGGTGTGGCTAAAAAGTCATTGCCCAACAAACTGGGAATATATTTATGCTAACTATACTTGTATTTGAAATAAAAGATGGAAAAAATGCACAAAAAGTAAAAAAGAATCCCCAGAAAATTTTTGAAATTTGAAACCTGGAAATGCTATTTCCTGCATTCTGAGCGTCCAAAAAATAAACAATTATTAACAATAATTTATCATTACTTAGTGGTAGAAAAAAGTAACAATTTAAATCGATTTTGTTAAACAAGAACAAAGGATAAAGCCTAAAACTTACTTTCCGTTTATGTATTTGTTAATCTTCGCTGGTTTGTTTCTATAATTTTAGGGAAAAGGGACTTTTCCTGGGTGGGCAAAATGTGATTTCGTGGGGGGGCTCAAGGGGGGACTGGGGGGGGGGGCATTTGCCCCCCAGCTTGTATGTTAAAAAAGGCCCTGGTCTGTGGCACAGGTAGCTAGCCTCCTCCTCAGGCCTCTTTATGGTTTTAGCCTGCGAATGGGTTTGAAAACACCCACCCGATTTCTCAAGGCATTTGGAAAGTGAAGGAGTATTAAAATTCAGATAAAAATCAGAGGATAAAAATGTTCAAACTATGGAATGTCTCGTAAATACATTTAAAATTTTTGAAATCCTCGTTGCAATCTTTATGCAATATTGCGAATGTTTTCTCAACTTTTCGTGTTAACTGAGAGAGGAGATGCACTTATTTTCCGCGATTGTATCCTTTTTTAGTTTGTACAATAATTGTAAGAACATAATAAATTAATTAATCAAGAATTTAATGATGACATTTTATAATAAAATCTCTCTTGCTTTGACCTTCTTTGCCCCATGCCCTCAAAGCAAAAAGAGCTTGATACAAGTTTGCTTAACTGAGAATACAAATCCTAGCTGTGGTAGTGCCAGATAATAAACAATTATTGAACGAGGTCCTGACTGGAAAGTTTGGAAATTGCGCACTGGAGATTTCAAAAATGTATTAGTAATTATATAAAAAGCATCAAAATTGCACGGAACGAGGTCGAATACGATGTGACTCATGTGAGGAATTCTGAGGTTTGTGTTATCTGCCGAAACCGTGCAAGAACTGAATTCAATAATTGTTTTATTATTTATTTGTCGGAATATACATAAAAAGTCGGTGAACCTTTCCTTTGAGGAAGCCATTTGAATTTTCCATTTTAGCCGGATAAATAATAGCATGACGTCATAGCGTGTTAATACATTCACTGTGATACATTGTTTTTCAATATACCACGAAATTACATATGGCATGTTTGTTTTGAATATTCCATGGCGATGTCATAATTAACTTCAAATTTGGACGGCTACCAACTGGATATGACGATTTTACCGACAGCTCTCAGCCAATCAGAACTCTTGACTTATTTTCAATAAATAACATGTATTATTTAGTATAATAGTGTAATATATTGTAAAACACAACCCACAACCAGTTTACAATTGTGACATATTGATCATAGGAACCTCCCGTGCAAGTTTTGCGCTTCACCTCATGCAACCTTGGTGCAGAAGGGTTGGTTTTTGGTCAGGGTTGAAAACCAAACTGCTCACGAAATGCCCAAAATAGGACAGGCGTTAGAAAGAAATACATATGGTATACGTACCGGAAGAATTGTTTTGAATCTCTGTCCTATTTCGGGCATGGTATAAAACTACCTCCATGGAGAAAAGCTGTCAATATGCACATGCTCAGGAGAAACACATTCACTAGTGCATGTATATATCAAGTATATCAAGTAGTGTACTATGTGGATACATTTAGTTGCAGACGACAAGGGGTATATCATTATTTACCCATTTGGTGGTTGCAGTACTTTTCATTTTCGTTTGACGAGCAAAGTCATGCATCTGGTGTTAGACGTACAGAGTAAACAAACAAACTTGGATGCATTTATTAGGCACATTGCAACTTAATGGGTTAACTATATCTGTAACCTCGGTGCTTCCCATAACAGTTTTAAGATCGAGGTGACATTGAACAGAAGTGCACAGAGATTTTTTACAACAAAATAAAGAGTGCCAGAGACAACCAACCACCTTGTTTTGTAAGTATATGCAGTAAAACATTTTCTCTATCAACTGCAGAATGATTTAGTTTATTTAACCCATTAAGCACCAGCGCTCTCCCCTTGACGAGTAAAATTGTCTGGCGTTAGACAGAGTAAAATACTAAAGTAGGGTGCATCAGGGTGCAATGCGACTCAATGGGTTAACTAGACACATGGGCAGATAGACCAGTTAACCCATTAAGCACCAGCGCTCTCCCCTTTGACGAGTAAAATCGTCTGGCATTAGACAGAGTAAAATGATAAAGTAGGGTGCATCAGGGTGCAATGCGACTCAATGGGTTAACCCATTAAGTGCCGGACTGCCAGTGCTCTTCCCTTGACAAGTAAAATTGTCTGTTGTTAGACAGAGTAAAATGATAAAGTGGGGGCGCATTAATTAATTGCCACCTAAATGGTTAGGGGGTGTTAAAGACTCCTGGGTCAACTATTCCTGTTGCCTGCCCAGGCCTTAAAATATCTTTTACAGGGCCGTCTGACAAAATGTCCGGTGACGTTGAGTTTGGGTCGGACATATGTCCGATGACCTTCAGTTCAGTTTTGGCTCGGAAATAAGTCTGAATGACACAAATGAATAAACGGTAAATGTTGTAAAGATATTTAAAAATTTGTTTCTTTCATATTTATTTCCAAGCCGGCCAAAATTAACTTGCTTGCCAGAACAGCAGTGTTAAAAAAGACTTCGACAACTTAAGCCCGTTTTCCACTTCACCATTTCGGTCGCCGCCCCGCGCTCCACTACGTTAAAACAACATTTCCAGTTCACCTTTTATACAATAGTACTCTGATTTTCCATTTAACATACAAGCCTCTAGTCGTGGGCTAGGGCACATTTTGATTTACGTCGGACAAAGCTACAGTTCGGTCGGACACCAATTCACTTGGGTTGGACAAACAATAAACATCAGTTTCACTTTGGTCGGACAGAATGTCCGGTGGTTTCCTCTCTACGTCGGACAATTTCACGAATGGGTCGGACAATGTCCGTGACCGACCGATATTTTAAGGCCTGTGCCTGCCATCACCAAGCAATTCACAATTTGAACTGAGAATTACTGATGAACATTTTCTAGAATAGTGATGGGGTGAACTATATTTTTGTCCATACTGCTGGTTTGTACTTTGTCCTGACCACAAAGAAAAATGCATCACCAAATTGTGCTCTGGAGTTCCTGCAAAGGTAATCCATAATTACATTTTTTTTACACAATAACCCTTTAGCCCATTAAGCTGCAGAGCTTTCCCTTGACAAGTAAAATTGTCTGGTGTTAGACGAGTAAGAAAAATAATTGGGGTGCACTGCCCAGGGCGCATTAATTGCCGTTCAACAAGTTAACTAGAGACACATTGATGAATAAAATTATCTGGCATAAGACAAGTAAAAAAAAAGTAGGGTGCATTGTGGCTCACATGTTACCTCTTGTAATGTGCAAGGAAGATGATTTTCTCAAATTCAAACTTACGGCATTTTCTCCCCCCCCCCCCCACACACACACAAATTGGCAGTCCTAAAGCTTTGATTGAATATTTATGAAACTTACAGATAGCTAAGCTCTTGCTTTGCATCAATTCATTCATTGTCTTTTTTATAGATTTGCTTGTATTTGTAAAGATTACTGTGGCGTTTTAAATGAAAATTCCATTCAACAGAATTTTGTTTTAATTTATGAAATTTTAGACGAGGTTCTGGTTAGTAACATTCTGTGTTAGAGAATATGGCAGATTGCTCTATCAGTTTTAAACTGTTCTCTCTAGAGGTTGAGTAACAACCATCCCGTACTGGGCCAGTGTTAGTAGAGGAGGAAAATGGAGTACTTTGAGCTGTGGATAGAGGGAGATACAACTATGGTACCTAAAATACATAAACAGAATTTCAACTGCATATTAATTTTGAAAATCAAGATTAAGATATCATAATTTATCTTTTAAAAATCTAAATTGACGAAAATATTACTGAAAAATTTAACAAATTACTGTACGTTAATTAGAATTTTTCTTTACTCCCCCCTCACCGCTCGCCAACAATTTTTTTTGGAAAAAGATTCATTAGCGACTGAGATGTTGATCAGAACTTAATGTTTGATCAGCAACAACCCCTGCCCCAATCTTGATTCTTTTCAATGCCCCTGCATGTCCCTGATCTCTGCCTATATTGGCACCGACCATTTGAGATTATATTTGGAGTAAAGATCATGAGTAAACCTGTGCTGTTACTGGGAACATTCTTAATTGGTAAGATATGATTTGAGTATTATTTTCCATGTAGAATTTTGGCTACGTACAAGAAACATATTCTCAAGCCATTAAACCGTACATTCAGAATCAGCCTACAGTTGTCGAACCTTATGATAAATCAACCCAATTTCCTGGGAGAGCTGTGGTAAGTTTTTTAAGTAAATTTTTCAGCATGTCTATTGGTTGGTTGCATTAGTTGATCTGCTGGCCTTTGTATCAGTTATTGTCCATTGTCATTGGCCAGCGAGTCACTTTTTTGTGTGCATTAGTTTGGTTTAGAGAAATTACGTGTTGGAAGTGATGCTGCAAACAGACCTGTTGGACATAGTGATAGGTTTTCTGTAAGTTCAACTTTTTTGTTTAATACACATCTATCTAAACTACAGAGTTCGATCAATACAGACTATCAATTGATTCCACCTCTAACACATTTTATTTTAGACCCCCAAGAAAGGTGAAATATTTTCAGACATTTTGGAACGTCTATTGGTTCAAGTAGATCCAGAGGTAAACCGTCGGGATCTTCTCTACAAATACCGCACGTTACAGAATTATACACCTTTGATCATCATTACCATCATCACCACCATTATCACAATCACCACTAACACCTTGCCTGTCTCATTTTCTCCTGTGTCTCTTTAAACCACACCTCTTAGCCACTACCTGACTAGCCTGCGAACAGGCTCTTTGAATTCTGGACACTCCGTCTTGTAATCTCACTCCAGCCACATATAACCACTGCCTCCCAAAGACCCAATATATTATAACTAACGATATGCTAAAATTCGAACCCTAATAAAACATTACAGGGCAATGTTCTTCGTTCAGAAATCATCGGCACTATTACATTACGAAGCTTTCTCCCAGATGGATGCGTCCTGACTATGGCTCTTAGCGATGAACTGTATAAACTGCATGTTGAAAATGGTAACTTCTGAAATTATTTACAATATATGCTCTAGCTTTGCTTTGTTAATTTTACTTTATCAATTATTATGAATGTGAGTTTATAATTTTTGTAGGATTTGGGACACAGCTAGAAGATTATAATCTCCATCCGTCTGTAAATTGCGCAGAGTTTGAATCAAGTGGAAAACTGTCCGTTATGCCTTTGGTTGGTGAGGTAAGAAGATGATATTTTTCCTGATTGTCAGAGACGGATTATCTTTGAAGATGGACTACTCACACTGCCACGCACGTTTGTCTGTGTACCTAGATAATCCGAAGCTCAGTTGTAGGATTAACAATTTCGTTATGTCCTTAGTTTGCCTTGATGAATTATCGTATGTCTGGAACGGTATCTAAAGAACGTCTTCCCTTCACCGTTGAAATGACTTTCGAAGATTCTAGTACAACCAAGTAAGCCTTCACTTTGCATGCATATGATATTTCGTTTCAAGTGTATATATGTGTTTCATTAATCCGGGATTTCAACAGCTCGTTGGTGAACGAGGTCTATTTTTTCACTTAACCTCATGTGTATTGGTTTATATTTAGGTTCATAGATGTTTCTATACAAATTCACTGCAGTATACCTTCGGACAAGTAAGTGAAACAATATTCAAGTGTTCGAATTTGAAAATTTTTTTTTCAAATTTTGTTTATGGTATTGTCTTACCTTTAAGATATGTAGAGAAAGTAATGGTGCAGTTTCCTGTACCTGAGGACACTCAGAGGTACTTCATAAGTCGTTTTATTGATTGATTATTTGATTAATTGGTTCATTGATTGATTGATTGATTAATTTGTTGATCGATTGATTGATTGGTTCGTTAGTTGATTGATTAATTTGTTGATTAGTTAATTGAATGATTAATTGATTTATTGGTATACTAGTTGATTGATTGATTAATTTATTGATTAGTTAATTGATTAATTGATTGATTAAATGATTGAATAATGTATTGCATGAATGATTCATCGATTGTTTTATTAACAAATTCTTATCTTGGATTGATTCTTAAATTAAATTGATTCTCAGATTAGATTGACTGGTTGCCAGATTAGCAGAATGTATTCGTCACTGAATGACGATGCCCTTCGTTTTGTATTTTTCGTAGTGTCTCTTGTTCTGGTCAAACTGTCGAGTTTTCGAAAGAAAGTGATTTAGTAACGTGGCACATTACACAGTTTCAAGGTGGAACAACGATCAGAGCTTTATTTAAGGTAGCTTTGGTAATGAAATATTTGTGGCTTAACGGTCAGTGTTTGTGCCTTTCCATTACACACACAAAAATCTCACATCTTTTAGCAAGTCTGTCAACAAGCCGTCAACAAGTTGTGTTCGCACAGCGTGTCCCAAATTGTCAACAAGTTTGTAACAAGCTGTTAACAACTTGTAACAAGCTTGATGGCATTATCAGACTTGTTGCAAGGTTGTTCCAACAAGTCCGATACAGTCTTGATATAACAATATCAGGGTGCGATCATTCAAGATTTCTAGTCGTACCTGACTGGTACGCCAATGGTTGTTGCCGCGTACTTGCGCTAGAACAAACTCAGAACTCAATGTGTACTTAGTCTTTACAATAAAGTTCATAAAGTACAGGTTTCTGAAAAGTATGTTCAGACTACGAGGTAGCAAACGGAGTTTTGCTATTTGAAAAGGGTGTTTTGTTGTTTGAAAATGGAGTTTTGCTATTTGCAAAGGGAGTTTTGCTATTTGAAAAGGGAGTGCTGCTATTTGAAAAGGGAGTTTTGCTAATTGAAAAGGGTGTTTTGCTATTTGAAAAGGGTGTTTTGCTATTTGAAAAGGGTGATTTGCTATTTGAAAAGGGTGATTTGCTATTTGAAAAGAGTGATTTGCTATTTGAAAAGGGTGTTTTGCTATTTGAAAAGGGTGTATACTTGTAATACCTTGGACTTGGAAAGGTCATGTGCTACCAGCAAAAAATAAGTACGCAGATAGCAAGAGTTCCTCGTACCTACGTGGTACGTAAGTACGTGGTACGTATGTACGCGAATTATCGCACCCTGAATATTGTTACAACCTTGTGACGTCAACCCTGTAACATTCTTGTTATATCATGACCGTATCAGGCAACCTTTGACAAAGTTGTTCTAACATGCCACCCTGGCTGTCTATGGGAACATGCAACAACTATTAGTTTGTTGTGTTTTCTTGCAGTTAAACGGATTATTTGAAGAAAATTTTGAATACAGACATGAGTTGGATGCTGTAAAGTAAGTTCATCACTCACTGGAGTAGTATTATATACATTACATTTTCTCTGTAGTTTACATAATATTTTGGGGGTGTTTTACAGCCTACGATTTGAAATTCCACAATTCCTGTGTTCAAGAGCGAAAGTAAAGTCCCTAAGAATCTCAGGTGGTGCGGGCAAGATAGAACACACGACAAAATGGACGCGACAAATTACGCACAGGTTTGGAAAAAATATATTTGGAGCATACACGGTCAGCACGGACGGTTTTTTCGTCCGTGCTGATCGTTTTTCTGTTCGTTTTTCTTCCGTTATTTGTTGATCCAAATGTGCCATCTAGTCACGACCAGTGATTGAAGTGTTCCATTGTTTTGAAAATCCCTTCGAGTTATTTTTATGCATATTCTAATAGTAATGCGTAGGCGTGTGAGATGCATGGCACAAAAGTGACTGGATGGCATGGAGAACAGCGGGATTTTGAAAAGACAATGGAACATTCTGATCAATGGATCGTGACCGCAAGGCAATAGTTACGCTTAATCGGGAAGCCTCACATATCGATTTTTTCCACGAGAAACGTCATATGTTCGTTTGGGGGTGGGGGGGTTGGCAGCTGTGACGTTTCTCTGTAAACATCATGGAAAAATTCGATAGTTTTTATCTTTGCAGAATATAAAAAAGAAAACAATTTGATACAAACAGCAGTCTATATATTCGTAATACCATACCTGTTCTATACCTATACATTTATATTATTACGCCTTCCTTGCATTGAAAACACTCAATTTTGAGAAACGTTGGAAATTTTGAAGTTCATACTTATATTAATAAAAAAGAGTATGTCAGCAGAAGATGACATATTCCTCGCGGAAGCATCGCCAATAGCCGACCGAAAAAAATAGTAGAAAATTACCTTGTGTGTACTATAAGAACAAAATATCGATAACTATGTGTGACGTTTCTAAGGGGGGTGGGGGGTGGGGGGTCTCCAGAGAAACGAACATATGACGTTTCTTGTGGACAAAATCGATATGTGAGGCTTCCCCAAAGGGTGACTATCTACATACAGGGAGTACAATTACCATGATTCTACAGTATACAGAATGTCCCAAAAAAACCAAAACTAATGAAATAAGGTACTGCTGGAATTTGAATGCCTCAGCACTTCGCTGAACCCACATGTGCATAAAAGCTTGACATAAGTAAATTTTCTGCATAAAGAAACTGTTTAAGAAGCTGCTTTTAAAAATTCCCAAGAGCAGAAAATCGTGCGCCTTACAAAGATATTTTAATTCCTTAATAAGTCAACTGATATTTATAATATATACACCCTGTCAATATTTTGCGCATGCATCTTTGCGTTCAGCTTAGTGTGCTAGGGCATTCAAATTCTAACAATTTCAATAGTTTTGGTTTTTTGGGACACCCTGTATACTAAGCTATCTTTGTTTTTTTTCCTTGCAGTGCCGTAGCCAGAACGATATTGGGGCACATATTCATATATTCGTGTTCTGCTTTATTAATTTCTTTTGAAATCAACTGTTTTTATCGTATGTGAACACGAATATATGAATATGTGCCCCCCAATTATCGTTCTAGCTACGGCACTGTTTCCTTGCTTTCATAAACGATTCGATGGTATAGCTGGTTTGAACATGCCAGCAAAGAATTTTTGAAGCACACATATTTTGTAAAATAGAAATTTTATTAGTTAACGTTTTGTTGTATAACTTCTTCACAGCTTTGAAGTGAATTTTACAGGGTATGCTATATACTAACCATGTAACAGTGTTACAGTAATAACCCTTTATAGATTAACCATTTTGATAATTTAAAGCATGCATACGAATTATCCAAAGCTTTGAATTGGTAAATAACGATGTAAACTAATAACCATTTTCATTTAAATGTTTTGTAGTGATTCTTACATTATACGACTGTGATTCGACATCAGTTGAAAAATGAAGATGAACAGTGATACTGGCGTGTGCCTTGGGCGTGAATTCACGGATTAGCGAATAAATGGCGATGTGATCTTGCTGAAATTCCTACCGAAAAACTTAACTCCTCTCGTAATATATAAAGCGCCCTGTTTGTAATAGAATTGCACTAGCTATCTTTCAACCTCTCAGTAGAATTACTGTGAGGTGGTTTAAAAATGGAAAATTTTGATAAAAATAAATTATTGACTTATATTGCGTGATGTTTGGATTTATAATTCTCCTACTGTTCATGCATAGATGCCAGAGACGGTAGGGCCCGTTCGCAGGTTAATAGCCCCACAATTCTTTACGAGTGTAAGTGCTATTTCTTCGAATTCGTTCCACGCGGAGAAGCCAGTCGAGTGCAGGATTGCTCGTTTTTATCAAAATCGCAACATTTTTAACCAATAAATACACCGATTTTTACATTTTTTAACTCCCAAGGGGGAATAGATATTTTTAGCTTAAAAATGAGCGAATTAAATGCGTCTGCGGTGAAGAAAATGAAGGTCACAGATCTTCGGTCCGAGCTCATGAAACGTGGTCTTGAAACGAAAGGATTGAAGCAAGTACTTCTCGATCGACTTTTGTCAGCTTTAGAAGACGATCAACCGGTTGAAATGGCTACAGAAGCAAAAGAAGAGCCTGAAGTAGGCACAGAAGAGACTACAGACGAAAACGGCGAACAAGAAAAAACTGAATCGCAAGAACCGATCGCGGAGGTAGCAGAACAACCGCCTGATGAATTGATGGCCGAAGATGCTGGCGAAACGGAGGGAAAAAATGACGAGCCTGCTCCAACAGAAGAACAAGCCGATGAACCAGAGCCTATAGATGAAGAAGAAAGCAAAGCAGACGAACCAGAAGCGATGGAAAACGTGGAAAAAGACGAGGAAGCCACTGAAAATGACAATGACAAACAAGACTCCATTATGCAAGAAGCAGAGTCCGAAGAGAAATCAGAAGGTTAGTATTTTGAAACCATTTTTTGAAACGAAAAAATATTTTGCACGTGTTTTTTTGGGAAGTGACTCTGCATAAGTTTTATTTGCACAAGAAAAATCATTATGGATGAAAGGAATGAAAATTTGAGATGATTGTTGCTATGTATGCAAATAATCCTGTCAAGTGATTTCCCCGCTGGCGGCTTGCACGTGCAGCTGCTGCCATCGATTGCCTTGTATTGAAATAGGATGGTATGTTTTAATCGTTTTTATAAAAAATTATCAAGTTCTTAAATTTTGGATCTCGCACTTAAATTTTCTAACTAACAGGAGAAATTATTTTCATATTCTGCTTCCAGCAAATCCGCAGAATCATCTGGATTTGCAGCTTTCTGCTACCCATTCTCGTACCCAGAGCCCTTATGCGTGTTCGACTGAGCACGACGAGGGGCTCTGGCCAAATCCATAACCTGATACCATAAAAACATGGTAAGAAAGCAATATCTGGTATTAGAACTAGCCAATCAGATGCCAATTCGATATGGATTTGGCCAGAGCCCCTCGTCGCACTCGGTTGAATGCGCGTAAGAAGGGCT